GGGGGAGAAGAGGAGCGAGGTGGAAAGAGAGGGGGGTGGGAAAAGAACAGAGTCAGAAAGAGAAAGAGAAAGAGACAGTATGAAAGGGAAAGGGCCAGTGAAAGAATAAGAGACGCAGCGAAAGAAAGAAAGAGAAAAAAGATCAAGAAAGATAGACAAAGCAGAGTGAGGGGTAGGAAGTGAGACAGAGACAGAAACGATAAAGAGGGAGAGAGAGGGGGGGGGGAGAGAGAGAGAGAGAGAGAGAGAGAGAGAGAGAGAGAGAGAAGAGATGAGAAGAGAGGGGTAGTGAAAAGGAGAAAGACAGAGTGAGGAGAGTGAGTGAAAGAAAGTGAAGACGAGAGCGAAAGAAAGAAAAAGATGGAAAAGGAAAGAGACAGAAAAAGAGAGGGGGGAGAGGGGGAGAGAGAGGGGGAGGAAGGGAGAGAGAGGAAGGAGAGACAGAGAGAGAGAGAAAGAGAGGAAATGAGAGACAAGGACAGAATCCCTAAAAACATACACAGAGACTCAGTGACACAGACAGTTTTCTGGCATACAAACAAACTACACACCTGTGTCGTAATGAAAAACACAGCACGTGTGTCCCAATGTGTGCACACCTGTCTCTGTGTGCCAGTGAGTGTATGGATTTGTAAGTGTGTTTGCCGTTTGTACTCGGCTTAATTCCTATGCATGTAATTTGTGCCAATGAAAACACAGAAAAATCTATCACATCATGACGGGAAACATCTCAACAATTTATTGAAGTGGTCGATGAAAGAGTATTGCTGTCATTTCTTTTCAAAACTACATCTCAAAATGATAGTAACAAAAGGAACAATAACCAACCAACAACAACAAAAACCGACAACAACAATAACAACAACAACAATAACCAACAACAACAACAACAAAGGGGTACAATATACACATTGTGTAAGGTCAGCATTAAAAACCAGCTAAGAAAACAAACTACAAAGCACCCGCGAATGGAAATACACTTGTACCTTACTTCTGGAAATCTCTTCAAGGTCCCCAACAAATAATATCTTTATTTCCTAAAACTTCAGCAAAGATTAAAAGAAAGTAACATCTGACATTTTGTTCAAAACAAATGCTATTCATAGATGACGCAGCTTGCGCCTTTCACAAAGCAATGGATTTTAATGTTGTTGGTTTTTTAAATCCATATCTCGTATTATATTATTGTAATGTGTGGGGAATCTCTTTTTACTGAAGTTTCTAAACGGCAAATTTGTGAAGTACGATCAGTTTGAATGAACTGTATAATCACAGAGTAATCATTTCCTGAAGGAAAAGCAGATTGCGTCTCGGTCAGCGAACGTGGATTCTGGCAATTACAGAGAACTGTAACCGTCAACAAAGTGGTGATGAACATCATCATAATCATCCTTTCTCGCCCCATGCTGGGGTATAGGCTACCAACAAGACGTTACCTTAGAATTACAAAGTTCTATCTGACATTATTTTGGGGCCGTTTTGAGTTACTACGACCAACAGGTCAGAAACAGAATTATTGTTCTATCTGTTCTATCAAAATCGTAAGATTATTCGGAGTCGTTATCAAGATATTCAAAGAATTGTATTCGAAAAAGCTTAATATGTTATGAAACTTCTAAAAACTTTAACGTTAAATTTCTTAAAACTACGTACTGATCTCGAGCAGTTAGAACTTAGTAATTCTAATACAGAGTGCCAATTGGGGTATCTGGTTGAGTTGGGCCGGCTTGCTACCAGATTGAGGGCGCTAAGCGGCTATCGTGACACAAACCGATAGCGCCCGACTCGTCGCCTCAAAAACATACGCGTTTGTTTTCAGGCGACGCGTCGGGAGATCGACCCGACCAGACCCGGCCCGATCCCGTCCACAATGGGCACCCGGTATAAGACAGCGAAGAGCTCTCGATCCACTGGGTCTGTGAACCACAAACAAAATATTCCCTGTCAGAGACACGAAACTGACCCAAGAATGAAATGAGGTCGACTCGAGTACAGGGCACCACAGCACAGACTGGCCGATAGGACATTATGATTATTCTTATTAGACTTATTAAAGTATTACCCCCCCCCC